CCCCCTTTCCCCCCTCCGGGGCCCTCCCCCAAGCCGCATTGACAACGGGCTCGTACTCTTGGTCCCTCCATAACAATAATAACAGAACTAGAGCAGCCAACAGCTATAGTTCCCAACACCGAGACATGGGAAATCTTTATGAATATCAAGCTTTTTGTGTATGCACTATATTCCCTGTTCGGGATTGATATGTTTCGGCATGGGGTGGGGGGGATGATGTCGACTCGAAAATTGCCAGCTCTATCTACATGTAGTAGTACTCGTAGTACTCATAGAAATCAATATTATTATCAGGATGCACACGGTGATGAGCATCAGCAGCAGCAGCAGTCGAGTTTTATTATTATCCGTATACATGAAGCTAAACTTCTCCGCGGGGAGAAGGGGGGGGAGGGGGGGGAGGGTTCCATCTCTTCTCTTAGCTGATATCTATCCACTACAGGTACGGAGTTTTCTCCATCGAATTAACTATGGGCTTGGTGGGCCAGCCATGCTTTTCTCTTCCCCGTCTTCAAAGGTTGCAGAAGTCCATGTCGAATACATCCGGGTATAATTTTGAACGGCCTTAGAATTGAGGAAATAAAAGGAGAACAGTAGAGACGGTGAGAAAGAAAGAAGGAGAAGTCGTCATCGTCATCGTTATCCGTTAACGTCCCAAAGAGAAACAGAGGAATAAAAATAAAATCTCCTCTAGGCTAGGCTCACGAAGAAAGGGCCGACAGAGGACGAACAAGGCCGCGGTCGGTTAATATTACGACCTACGTACCACGTCCCATGGTACGACGAGAAGAGATGTAAAAAATTTATTTAAATAATAATAATAATAATAATAGACAAAAAAAAAAGCCCTTCCCTTCCATGTGACACCCATACACACCCCCTTAAGAGAGAGAGAGAGAGGGTGTGTACTTATGTATGTCCCTCTCCTTCCCTCTCTTCCCACCATCCTCTTTTCAATACTCTCTCTCTCTCTCTCTCTCTTTTCCCTGACAAGGTGGAATAGGGAGAAAACAGACAAGACAACTGCAAACTCTGCCGATATATTACTCGGTACGAGCAATGAGTTATTTGTAGTAATGACACTCTCAGGGTACCAATGCGAATCTGCAACAAGATAAAACAGGTCGTTTATTCTTTGTTAGAGGACTTAGTAATAATGTGACTTACTTTCTCGACAAGGTACCCGACAGGGAAGACGGCGGGTCCCACGGCTATGAACGGAGCATAGGTAGTGGCTACATGTATATGTACATGTAC